GACCAAAACAGGCGCAGCTTGATGACATCATCAACATGTGCTATCGCGATAGAGCGGAATAGTCAAAATCTCTATTGTTGGCCAAATTTATATCGTTTCTATCGTTCATATCGCCCACCCCTACCTAAGAGCAGACTCAATCACTTGAAATATTTACAAGATTTGTTAATGAGATGAATCAACTTAAACAGGAGCACGGTCATTAACAGAAACTCTGCACAGGTGCCGTGGGAAACCAGGGGGCAGAGAAACAGTCGGGCACGCGGAACACAGGAAGAGCACGGGCTGGAACTTCTGCAACAGAGGAGAGAGGCGTCACTGGACTGGGAAATGAGTGAGAGAAGGCAGAGTGAGAGAGACAATGCCAACTTTTACAGACAGGTAAGAGAGCGCAGATGGTCATTAGCATCACAGTGGATTCTTTTGTCACACATTAGGTGATCAGTCAAACAGCTCTATTAAATTTATGGAATTCACATTGAGTATAGATGGATATTATGAAATATGGCTGGGTATCATCACTGATTTCTAGAATCAATTCGATTCCGATTCACAAGGTCCCAAATCGATTCGATCCACAATTTGATTTGATTCGATTTAAATCAGGGAAATTTTGCTTCAGACAGTCAGAAATATTATAATTCTGATCACAATCAGTACATATCTATATTTTTATATCTATAAAAAGAAAGCTGACACTTGCGAGACTTTATCAAAAGTGTAAGCATCACAGCAGATTCATTTGCGTCAAAGTAACTGAGGATAAAACACAGAAAAACATGAAGGCAGTTTTCCTGGTCTGGGTTTTTATAGCAGATGACCTTAAAAATATTGTGCAGTCAAAAACGAAGTGAAGCAGAGCAAAGTTACAGAGGTTTGATTAGAGACACAGCTAAGCATTTTGTATAATTTTAAAAAGTTTAAATTTGTTCAGTATTGAACAGCAGAAATGAGTCTTTCTTGTCGGAAGTAAGTAAAAAAAAACACACACACAAAAAAACAGCGGCCGACACCGTAGACTGGTGGGTAATAAGTAGGGGTTGTCACGGCGAGTGAGATGAGCCGTGTGGAGATGATAAAGGAGGATCCAATTGCAGGCACTTGTAAAGGTGTGAAGGTGGTTTATTGAATACACGGCACAGGGAAAATGGCAAACGAAGACAAACTAAACTATACTGGAAAACAACTAAACTACAGAGCAGGAACCAGAACGCAAACAAGAAAAAGGGCGAGCAGAGGCGGGTGACGGTAGACAGCAGGGATAACACACAGAAGGAGCAGGGTGGATACACAGACGGACCAGCAACTACAGTGACAGGAGACGCGACTTAAATACACACAGAGAAACACAGGGAGATTACACACAGGTGGGGGACACAGCTGGGAGTAATCAACAAGACGAGATAAGGGAGGTAAAACTGAACACACTCACATGAGACGCAGACCTTCACAATAAAACAGGAAACAAGAACACTACACAAGGACGCAGACTCGACACTGATAGACAGACTGAATATAACACATGGAACCTAAATGCTAAACATGAGACACAAATCCTGAAACACAAATAAACAGAAACATGGAACTCTAATAATAATAATAATCATCATCATCATCATCATAATATTAATAATACTCATAGCACCCCAAACTGCAACAATCATTCAAAAATAAACTAACAATCAAAACTCAAAATACTGGGTCGAAACTGACCCAGAACCGTGACAGGGGTGGGTTTTGATTATTGATTTAGAGACAGAGTAAGCTCTAAGCTCTTTAACCTGAGATTCTGGTGTGTGATTTTTATCGTGGTGGAAGCAAAACAGCAAAAGTAAGAGGAAATTTGTGACGATGTTTATGTGAAGTATAGAGTCAAAAAGCAATTGAGGTTCCACAGTCCACTCAGTCCGTGTCTTGATTCCCACACACAGCCAAGATGCGATTCTTGACGTAGTCTTTAGCAGCCGTCGGATTGGTGAATATTTCCTCACCAAGAGGGGAAGAAATCCTTAGCTTAGCTGGGTATAGCATCTAGAGGTGGGAATCACCATACATCCC